CCCCAGCACAGCCAAGTGCAGACCATCTCAAACACCTGCACTCAGGCCCATGGTCCTAATCATCCTCTATACGGACCTGCTGGGTAACGCCACAAAGAACCTGAGAATGGGCTCCCACAGGACCTACAGAACATCCCACAGCATGTGTGTGTGTAGGGGGGGATCAAGATCATGATGGGGAAATCCACAGAGACAGCTGACCTGGGACTTTTGGGAGCTCACAGACTCTAGACCAACAGCTGGGGAGCCTGCATGAGCCTGACCTAGGCCCTCTGCATGTGGGTGGCAGTTGTGTAGCTTGGTGTATTTGTGGGGCCCCTAGCAGTGGGACCAGGATCTGACCCCTGGTGCATAATCTGGCTTTTTGGAACCTATTCTCTATGGTGGGACACCTTGCTCAGCCTTGATATGGGGGAAGAGGGCAGTGGGAGGGACCTTGGTTCTGCCTCAACTTGATATACCATGCTTTGTCGACTCCCATGGGGGGCCTTGCCCTTTCTGAGGAGTGGATGGTGAGGGTAGAAAGGAGTTGGGGAGAGGGAACAGGAGGAGAGGAGGGAGGGGAAACTGTGGGGGTTTTTGTTTGTTTGTTTGTTTGTTTTTTGGGTTGTTTTGTTTTTGTTTTTGTTTTTTTTTGCTCAGAGTAGAAATTCTACTGCAACATCTGCCTTGGCTTCATTTCCACGGCTGCGATAACACGCGTGATAACGTTTCCTAACGAAAGTGAAAGCATTGCTCTCCGCTTCCGCTTAAGGATGTGGTATGACCAGCCCCAAGTTACCGTTGCTGTGGCTTCTCTGACGTCATGGACTAAACCTGGACCTTCAAGCCAAGGATATCCTGCACTGTAAGTGAGATTAAGCGCAATGTTACCTCTAACTCAGAGTGAGTACCAGATGAACAGTTCAACAAAGACATTGAGACTGTTTCTGAAGCGTAATTTTCAAAATGAGCACGGGAGATCTACAATACATCCTTTATAAACCATCAAATGTGTAGGCAAGCTAAAAGAGGAAAAAATTTAAACATACTATCATGTAGTTGCTTGAAGCTTTTTCTTTTTTTTTTTTCTTGAAGCTCAAAGGCCAAAAAGGAGTAAATACAGGAGATGATGCTTATATTTATCCTTTATATAACAGGAAAATGCACTAATAAAATAGCATTTTGGCCGTAAATGCTATACCACAAACACACCCTGATAAGTGTTTCCAGTATTACTCTAGCAATAAAAGTCTAGTATCATATTGAAAGCCCCGAGAAAGAGAATGACATTTGAACTAATAGGTTTACCTAATAAGGCTTCTTAGACTACTTAAGTCTTTTTGAGATCATACCACTTTTCACCAGAGCAGCACCAGTTTAAATATGAAATTAATATCAAACATTGAAAAAAGCTATTATCTCCCCATGAGTAACTGGCTCAGTCTGCAGGTACAGCAAGCCTTCTAGGTATTTGTCAAGATAACATGTCAACATATTTTGATAAACTCTGTCGAGAATTTGGTAAACTTATTAAGAGAGTTTGTATTTGTAAAGTTCTTAAAGTAGTGTCTAGTGATAATTAGCAGTCTATAAGCTTTTTAATGTCAATTTCATATTGTTCCCGAATCAGGGACACCGTTTGCTCCATCTGTTTCTTTTTAACGAAACGTGTAGCTTGGTTTTGGTTTTAGAATTTAGCTTCTTTGCTCCCCAGTGGAGTCTTGCTACGTTGCCCATGCTGTCCACAACTCTTGGTGTCACGCAATCCTCCTGCCTCAGTCCCCCGGCCCCCATGTAGCTGTTACTATAGAAACTCCTGGCCTAGAATTTGACATTTTTGTCTCTGAAAAAACTGAACAAGGTGGTCAAGATGAAGGTTATTTGCTCACATTGCTTTGTACCTTTCACATTTGCTTTCTGAGACCTCGGAATTAAGGGGGTAAAAAGGGCAACCATGTTTCATTAGTATGAATCTTAATATCTCTAATGCTAAATACTGAGTGAACTACGGGTGATCAGCCCTTTCAAGGAGCTGTTTTTGGAGGCATTGTGGCATACATATTCCCATTCATTATCACTTGTGCATACATTTAACTTTAATAAACAAGGTATGTTATTTCTCTCCTGTTCCTCTGTTCAGATTTTCAGTAAGTTAGAACCATTGAGACCAATAAATGCAAAAGTTATTTAAGAAAAAATCTATGTATTTCCTTCTCGTGAGTAAATATGCACATAAAAGAATCTTGTTTTGGCCGGATATGTTTGTTCACCATGATAGAAGCCACAGTTTCACACCTAACAGCTTCATCCAAACAGTTCTCCTCCTTGGCGGGCTCATCTGTCCAAGTGAAGATGTGCATATTAAGACTGACAGCATCTGGTCCATGTGGACAAGTGGAAAAAATACAGTGGTTTGTTGTACCATCATTTAAAAGCAAAAGAAAATACACACTTCCTCCAGGGTGCTCCAAGGGTAATCAGTAAATATATAAGATTTGTAAAAATTTAGAAACATGGACTCTTAATTAAGATTTATTTTATTTCAAATTATGTGTGTATGTGGAGTTGGGTGGTGGTGGTGTCGCATGCACACTTGCGTACTAATGATCTGGAAGCAAGAGAGCCTGAGATCCCCTGGAGCTGGAGCTACAGTGTGAGCAGCCTGATATGGGAGATAGGAACTGAACTCATCCACTCTTCTGCAGTGCCAGTTTGTGCTCACCGAGCTGTCTCTCCAGCCCCTCTAAATCTACCGTCCCATCTTTCGAAGAAAAGTATTTATTACAGTAAGAAAAATAAAAGTTATAAAGGAAGAATTTTTTATAATTGTTTATTAAATCTAGGATCCTGAGACTGAAAAAAGTAACTAGTTTGGACAGAGTTCCTAAAACAGTAACTCTTCTACTTTCTAGTCACTTGTCCCTAGGAATAAAATCATGTGAGCTTGTTTCCTGGGAACATTAT